CCGCGCGCCACACGTCACGCGCGTCACGTCACGCGCGCACCGCCTTCGCAAGCCCGCTCACGTGGCTAAGCCCCCCGCGAGCGTCGCGCCCGCTGCAGCCTCAAGGCTACTCACTCTGACCTGCCACCCAACTGGGATGGGGAGACGGCCTCGAACCGGGGAAACGCCGGTCAAACTGTACAAGGAGAAAGAAGAGCGCCGGCGGGCGGTTCTCCCCGCCCCCCCCCGCCGCCCCCCGCCGCCCCCTGCCCCCTGCCCCCGACCAGGGCCTCTGCTTGGCCACGTCGACCGCCACTGCGCCTGCGCAATCTCCCCCGAGACAGTGGGCCCTGTGCAGAGAGCGGCAGAATCGTGGGCCGTGAACGCCGGCGGCCGGCAGGGGGCGCGCCTGACGCTGTGCACCTAGAACAAAAGAGGATGAGCAACTGCAACCCAGTCTCTGCTTACCCAGTTACCCTCCTGTAAGGTGTGTGTGTTCCAATACCATAAAAGATGCTAAACATTTTACTCATAAGGATAAATAAGCCACTGCCAAAACCATTTAGAATTATGAAATGCTGAAAGGGAAAAATCTACGTCTTACCTTAAAAGTTTTTTAAGATTAATAAAATGCTTGGTCACACCCATATATATATATATATATCATATATATGCATATATGATATGTACAGTATATGTATATATACAACTATATATACACACAATATATAGTTGTACTGGTGTTTGACCTCAGGCCCTTGCATTTGCTGGACAGGTACCCTACCACTTGATGCATACCTTCATCCTTTTTTGCTTTTGTTATTTTAGGAAACAACAGAAAAGAAAACCTATATGGTGCTCTCAAATTTCCCAAGAATCATAAACACAGCATTATCAATATTAAAGCTGGAATGAACTTTCTTAAGTTATTTTCTAAACCATTTTACAATAAACCATACTAGATGGTGAATTTTAAGCTCTTTATTCTCTTTGTAGGATATCTGAAAAAATCATTTTCATGTGCAGAGATAATGCATATTGGTAAAAAAAAATCCTTAGATCAATTAAAATAGAGTTTATTTGATTAAAATGAAACAGATCCATGAGTCAGGAAGGTCCCAGAACTACAGTTCCTGAGAATGTGATCTGATGGATCTGAAGGAAAGTCTAAAACAACTTAGGTACAAGAAGCCAGTTAGTTATGGCTTCACTGGTTGGTTACTTACTATTTAGCTTATTGGCTGCAGGCTCTCCACAACTAACGAACTTCTGTTATGGTTTGGGCTGTTGGACCAGTACAGATGGTCAATCCAAAATCCATACCCCTTAATGTTGGTTTAACAGTAAAAAACAAACGAAGAAAGAAGAAAATATTCTGGGATGGTCAGTCATCTAAATAGTGTAAGAATTGTTATTTTCTCGATTAGTAGTAACATATTGGTCCTGTTTAAAATGTATAGTTTTGTGATTCACTTTTTTTTGTTTTTCAGTCGTGGTGCTTGAACTCAGAGCCTGGGCACATTCTAGGAGCTTTCTTTGCTCAAGGCTAGCACTCTACGACTTTGAGCCACAGTGCCACTTCTGGTTTTCTAGTAGTTAGAGATGAGTCTCATAGACTTTCCTGCTTAGGTTGACTTTGAACCACGATCCTCAGATCTCAGCTTCTAGAGCAGCAAGAATTACAGGAGTAAGCCACTAGTACCTGGCTAGCGATTCACTTTTGTTTCTACTTTTTTTTGGGGGGGGGGGTCCAGTCATGGGGCCTGAACTCTGGACCTGGGCGCTGTCCCTCAGCTCTTCAGCTTAAGGCTAACTCTACCACTTGAGCCATAGTGCCACTTCCGGCTTTTTTCTTTTTGCTTATGTGGTGCTGGGAAATCGAACCCAGGGCCTCAGGCATGCAAGGCAAGCGCTCTACCACTGAGCCACCTTCCCAGCCCCTGTTTCTACTTTTGTGTTCTTTTCTTACCCAATGTCATCCAAATGATAAAAGCAGCAAGCACTATACAACTTGGATCTGTTTGGGTTGAAATGACATTTGAGGTTAGCAGAAAACAATCACATATTTGAAAGCATATGAACAGCTATTTTTAACATGTAGTAGGTTACTGAGGTAAAACAAAGGCTTAGGTTTTTAATCAGACCAAAATGAAATAATAGAGATTTCTGAAAATGCCAAGCTGTCTCTTCAGATCCTCCTCCACCCTTTTAGAACACAATGCGGCTATGGCCTAGACACATAAGGCCTATGAGTAAGAAATAGTAACAATCATTTACCCAAGCAGAGCTATTCCAGCATGA